GGGCCTAAATGTGACGGCCAGATCACATGGGAAGTCGGAAACAAGCAATCAAGTATTGATTATTGTCTCATGACTGAAGGAATTTACCACAAACTGACAGAAATGAGGATAGACGAGGAAGGCATTAACAGCTTGGGTAGTGATCATAAACGAATAACATTACAAATGGGATACGAACTAAAAATATGAGCATGGAATCAAAGTCTGGCAGCTCGTATTTAAATGACAAACAAATAATAAATATAGCCGCAAGAGTCGAGGAAGAAGTAGGCGAAATACCAGGCAAGGACTGGGAGTATAGGGAGCTGTTACATCTAATGACGAAGGAGATAGGGAAAGAGAAGAAAACCGTTTGCTGGAAAGGAAAAAGGAAGCCAAAAAGTTGGTGGAACAAGGAAATCCGGGAGGCGATCGAGAAGCGACGCGAAGCATCACGGGAGCATAGAAAGGCAAAAAAGGAGAAGCGGCCGCAGGACGAAGTCAAAAAAATATGGGAAATCTATTTGGAGAAAAAATCCCTTGTACAGAAATTGGTATAGGCAAAAATTAAAGGTGAAAGTGAACGCTGGATGACAGAGATACACGAAAAAAGGAGGCCGCGCCTAGGATTTTTTGGAGCCACATAAAGGCGCTAGGTAGGAAGTCTGTCACAACGCAACAACATATTCTAGATGAAGGAGGAAATCAATTGGAAGGGTACGAAGCGCTAGGTTACATCCAAAAGGTAACAGCCGATTCGTTTCAAAAGAGCGTCCAGGGGATCTCCCCGGTGAGTAAAAGTGTGGCGGAGAAAGCAACAGAGGAAGAGCTAGTACTAGATAATTTCAACTGGAAAAAGGCCGAAGGAAAAATTCCAAAGCGCACTGCCGCGGGTTTAGATGGGATTCCCGTTAGCCTCATTAACGAACTAGGACATAACACTAAAGAAGCATTGTTAAAAGCAGTAGAAAAAAGCTTAAAGGACGGACAAATACCGGACAGTTGGCGACAAAGTAGAATGAACTTAATCTATAAAGGCAAGGGAGAAAAGGACAAGATTCGCTCGTATAGACCACTAACCATTACATCGGTACTATACAGGTTGGCGATGCAAGCAGTAAAAATGAAAATAGAAACATGGGCCGAACATAACGATATTTTGGGAGAACTTCAGAACGGATTTCGAGTCGACAGGCGGTTAGACGATAACCTGTTTGTTCTCACTCAGTGTATAGAAATATCTAAAATAGAGAATAGGCCCTTGTACGTGGCTTTTCTAGACATCACTGGGGCATACGACAACGTTAATCAGGAAATTTTGTGGGATATATTGAAAGGAATGGGCATGGGCGACGACTGTATACAGCTTTTGAGGGAGATATACCGAGAAAATACAGTCTGCATAGAGTGGGAAGGAATGCGGAGCAAAGAGAACGTTGAGGTTAGCAGGGGTCTGAGACAGGGATGTCCTTTGTCCCCACTGTTATTCATGCTGTACATGGTGAGTATGGAAAAAGCGCTAGAAGGTAGCAACATTGGTTTTAATCTGTCACACAAACAGGGCGGCATGATGATTGAGCAGAAGCTTCCAGGTTTATTTTATGCGGACGATATCGTCTTATTTGCGGACAGTCGAGATGATATACAGCAGCTGGCGAATATATGCGGAAGGGAAGGTGAAGCTCTTGGACTAGGATTCAGTGTAACGAAGTGTGGTTTGATGGTATTCAATGATCCCTGTGATCAGACGGTGTCCATACAAGGCCAAGAAATACCGAGGGTAAGTGAATACAAGTACCTTGGAGTATGGGTAAATGAGAGTGATAGATACATGGAGGTACAGGAAAAAGCCTCGGCAGCAAAAGGAAAGAGGAATGCGGCAATAATGAAGCACAGAGCGTTGTGGGGATACAATAGGTATGAGGTGCTTCGAGGTCTGTGGAAGGGTGTAATGGTTCCAGGGCTTACTTTTGGGAACTCAGTGGTGTGCATGAGGGCAGAGGTGCAATCGGGAATGGATGTAAATCAAAGGACTGTGGGACGCCTCGCGTTGGGTGCTCACGGGAAGACGACAAACGAGGCTGTGAAGGGCGATATGGGGTGGGCAGGTTTTGAGGCGAGGGAAGCGCAGAGCAAAATAAGGTTCGAAGAAAGGCTAAGAAATATGAAGGAGAGTAGATGGGCAGAGAAGGTGTTCCGTTATTTGTATAGGAAGAGCGTGGACACACAGTGGAGAAAAAGAACTAGAAGACTCACTAGTAAATATACGGCTGGTATTGTGAGCCATATGTCAACAAAGAGCGTTAAGGGAAAAGTCAGGGAGGCGGAGAGGATTTACTGGATGGCAGCTATGGAGAAAAAACCGGCTTTGAGTAACTACCGAAAGGGCAAAAATGAAATAAGGAGGGAGGCATTTTACGATAATTCAAGGGGAAGCGCTTTACTGTTTGAAGCGAGATCGGGTTGCCTTAGAACGCGTAGTTATAAAGCAAGATTCAGTAAAGAAGAAGAACAATGCACATGCTGCGGGAAAGATAAGGAAACGGCGGAGCATGTTCTGATTGAATGTGGAGATATCCACCCAGGTGTACGTTTGGGCACGAGCCTACAGGAAGCCTTGGGTTTTAGGGACAACAATGGAAAGCTGAACACACCCGCGATTGAAATAAGTAAGAGACGGTTAGAGTATTGGTGGCAGAAAATTAGAGAGAAAGGACAAAAATAAATATTGGAAAAATAAAATATGGACAGTGTGCCGTAAATGGCAGAGAACTTAAGCTGAAAATTTACCTTTTTTCCATTAAGATAGAATTTATCGAAGTAGAGGCATTAGGCCAACATAAAAAAAAAGAAAAAAGATTTTTTTTTTCGTCGAGCCTGGTGGCATACTTGTCACCACCCCAGGGGACGCTCATAGCATCCATCCATCCATCCATCCATCCATGTTATAAAACTAGATGGCGGTATTTGGGTGTCCACTATATAGCGGTACTTGTAGTTGATGAATATAGATGTGAGATAATATAAAGCTATAGATGGCGCTACCTGTAGTGGGTAACGAGAGATGCGAGATGTTATAATAGGAATGATGTCACAAATAGCACGTGTCATTGGTGGAAGGCAATCGTTCGATTTAGTGTGGTGACGTACGCAAAAGGGAGAGGGTTGTAATAAAGTTCGTTTGCTGTTGGCGCGCCACGAAGCTGCACGACACCGCTACGAAGATCCTGCCGTATACGAGGAGTGGGAGGCCCAAGCGGCACGACATACACACACAGCGTTTCTCGTGTCTTTAAATAATGATCAACTCGGTGAATTACACGCAACATTCACGGTTTACCGATGATTCCCTCCGGAGCTTCGCCCACTCATCATCATTCACCCCGTTGATAGGCTGCGATTTTTTGGTTCATGGTATTTATTATATGCGTATTTGGAATTATAACAATGAAGTAGTGATACACTGATTCAGCGACAATAATCGCACCACCGCTGCACAAACATTCGAATGCTTACGTACATACTCAGCAAGTCCAGAAAAAGAGGGAAAGCTCTTCAAAAGGCTGGTAAGAATGAGCACCTCATCAAGATGGGGTGCCAGTCTGGTTGGAAGTCAAGTTCTCCATAAATGTCCCTTAGCTGAAGAGCCATACGCATGAAACGCATACTTCAAGCAGTCGTTTATTTTGCAATACTGTCTTGCATGCACGTTTTCCACAGACCGATGGGTCCTTACATGTATACAGCACGCACAGTGGAAAGCAGGGCGAGAAAAGCACATGCGCATTGCACATGAGCGGGACGATCGTCCGCATCCAAAAAAGCCACGGGTGGCGGAAAAGTGGCTGGCCGATAAGCAAGGAGGTAAGCCGAGCCAACACCCTCTGGATGAGTCCGCAGGCTTTGGGGGGGAAGCCCATCGATGGGATGCGGTGCCGGTCGCGCTGGGTTTTTCCTCCATGCGTTTCAGATATCGCGCTAAAGTCTCCGTACGTCACATTGCAGATTTCAAAGTATATTTTTTTCTATTCGTTCAGTGACCTGGGAGTGAGGGAATAGACAATGTATGAAGAAAAGTGCAGTGAAACTAACTGCTACGCTTAACAAACACACGTGTCCTGCATGCATGTTTCACGATAAAACATCAAATATTGCCTTAATAATGCGGGTTACAAGAGTGCCACGGGTGTCACGATCGGGCGTCAGAACATGGGATTATCATAATGACTTCCGAGTTTAAGGCCAGTCATCCACTAGAAAAGGCGCACGCACTGCTGCACCCATGGTGTGACTGCACCTTTATGGCCACGTAGTGGGTACATAGCAAGTTCTAAAAGGTCACCGCTATCGCGTTCAACTCATAAAGGCGAAGCTTAAGGGTCCCCCCCCCCTCCCCCCAATTTTTGTTCCAAGTTCCAAACGACGAAAACGCACCGCACAAGATGTATGGGGGAAAACTTTTTATTTTCAGCTTGCTGCCTTCAGATGTGACCTAAACATGGCGTAAACATAAAGTAATGATAGTCAGTGAATTCGATATTGAAAACAAATTAATTGAGAGTAATTATTAGAAGGCTCCTCGGTTTGTTGTGCCCGCAAAATACGATATTTGCTTTCATCTTTCTATCTAATATGTGCCGAACACTCTAGGAGACCGGGCTGTCGTGTGCTGTCGTATGCTGTCGTTATCGCTTGGCATAACGCTCCTCGTCTAGCTCATTGAGCGTGCGCGTGCACCTCGAATAGTCTCTCTGCTTACGTCACGCCCAGTTAGCAGAGGCTAGTTCTTTTATCTTTCTCTTTCTTTGTAGAAAAGCGCCGAAAGGTAAACGCCAACCGCTTAAAGCAGCATAACCTGGCTTCCTAGGATGGTGGCGCCATCTGCCTCAATCAACGAGAGTCTCGGGAAATCAAAACCGAAAGCGCCTCCAACCGTTTCGCTCGGCAAGCCGCCGCGCTGCGTATAAAAATGCGGCAGCCCCCCCGTCGGAGCTGGCCGGGAAAAGCTGCTGGCATCATCAACTCGGCTTCTAGCTTGGGGTCTCGCACCGCGCCTCGAGCCCGACCAGCCTGCGGTGGCGCCGTCTCGCTGAAAGGGGGAGAGAGAAAGAGAAAGAAGAAAAGAAAAATATCGCCGGCATCGGCGACGAAGGCGGAGCAGCAATGCGATCGTCAGAGCACGCATTTCGACGGTGAGATTCGGAAGCTCGAAGGCGTCACCGGCACTGCGAGAAAGCCGGTGAAGTACTTTGGGACCGCCGCGTAGGCGTCTTGACAGTCCGCTCCCGAGACATCGACGACACGCTCCAAGATGAAGATCGAGAACCTGCTCATACGGCAGCTCATCAACGAGTTCCTCGGAACAATGATTCTAATTGTAAGTTCCATTTCTTTTTACAAAACTATCGATCTCTTTTCGATGGCGCAATCCAGCTAAATCATAACATGACGCGAATGACAGCACCACGTCGCCGTGCCCGAAAGCTATGCACTATAACAGGAAGCTTCAGCTGTCACCCCTCTTTCACTTCTTTCTTCTTTTTTTTTATAGAACACTCGCAGCATTTTTTAAATATTAAATAAACACTGATTCTCGCTTCGGAGTCATTAGGGGCACGAGTTGTATCGCGAATGAATGTTTTGTGTTTTCGCGCGCTTAGGCGCATACCTGTAAGATGGGCGGTAGCTTTTGAAAGCCCAAGGTCAGGGAAGGGGACGCGCTGTGGTAGCGTGCTTTTAGCGCACATCACGGAGCCCGCATTCGTCCGTCGCAAATGAACATTATAACATTTTAAAGTTCTTTTTTTTTTCGTCGTCCGCGCACGCGTTAACTCCTGCAAGTTACGAATTTAATGACGAAAATTTCCGCATTTTTTTTTCTTTTCTGTGGTCATTATAATGTTTGCACGTGGGATTACGTCATATACCCAAAGTTGTTATATGCGATGAGTAAGGGTTCGTATCAAGTCTAAGCAAACACTTTTTCGCTGTGTGAACTTATTGTCCATCTTCGTGTGCTCACTGTTACAAATTTTAATTTGTGATAAATTTGTACACCTGGGCCAATTATTTGTTTATAAATTGCTCGAGAGCAGACAGATGTACGGAGTGCTTTTCTTATTTAAAAAGATGTGTCAAGAGATTCTTCACGCTCACTGTAATATCAGAGATTCCAGCAATGCATACGGAGCAAGGACAGGTGATACGTTCTGTATAGAACCGTATACTCCTCAAAACCTGCCCGAGCTATGCGAAAAGAACCTAACACAATGCTGAAGCAATCTCACGTGGTGCCATCGGCATCTGCGTCAATGTTAATGAGTGGTTGTGGTTACTCTACAAGCAGAAATTGGCAGCTAGGTCGGCTGCTAGTTTGCTTGTTGTGTGAATATATGTGGAGTACAATCCTGAATACAACCTGTGTCACGCAATCTATTGACATCAATTACCCAGTAACATTATATGAAATGTAGTTGGGAGAGGAGAGGTATATATATCACACTGTTCTTTAATTTCGCATCTTTGCACATATTTTAGGTCTACGAACCGGTTATTCTCGTATGGCGTCTATAAATCGGTGTATATATTGCGTCATCTCGTCTAATTGTTTTTTTTTAATGCTGAACATTTTTGCACGCCACACAATACATTGACCTAGCGGAAGAGAGAATAGAAGTTTTTCAAATATGTGGTTTGAAAAATTATTCATATTAATGCAACACCATGGCCTACAGCAAATAAGGGATAGAGAACGCCTAAAAATTTTTTCCTTAAGCGGGGATTCCGGTATATCAGTTCATGTGTTCATTGCCTCCAATATCATCCCTGATATACGAAAAAAAAACATTTTTTTTTGGAAATACAGAAAAATAAATAACCAGATCAAATAATTTGCCCGAGGGATTGCAGGAAGAAAACAAAGATGACGTTAAAAAAAGCAGACTGTGTTGTATCTGCTCCTACGCAAAAAATAAACGCAAAACAAACTCTTTGAAATGTCTCACGAATCGATAGGACTATTCTTATACATGCAGCGAGCTAGGACGATAAATCATGAGAAAACGTCAGGAGGTGTCGCCGCTTACTCGCGACTTGTGCCTCTACTTTGTTGAAATAACAAGTACACGACAGTGCAACAAGTCAGTTCGTTGCTTCACGAATCGCTTTTATATTACTCCTTAAAAAAATGCTGAAAAATACATTTATACAACGAGCACTTCGCTCTTCAAAATCAGCAAAAAATTTGCCGTTTTCAGTTTATCATCATCATCATCATCATCATCATATGCAGCCTGACTACGCCCACTATTGTGTTTTCTGCTGCGACGTTATACCCACGAACTTTTTAATCCCATCGGCCCACCTAACTTTCTCTCTCCCCTTCGTGCGTTTGCCTTCTTTGGTAATCCAGACAGTTGCCTTAATGACCAGCGGTTACCCTGCCTACGTTCTACGTGCCCGGCTCATTTCTTCTTCTTGATTTCAACTATGATAACCTTAGCCCCGGTTTCTTCTGTTCCCTTACGAAAGTACTAATCAGTTTATATAGCACCTACTCAGCTTCGGATGATGCGAATTTATTCCTCCCTGCCAGAAGATTCGTACCGTCGTATTTTTTTCTTGTTTTGTTTTTTGTAAGTAAGTGGGATGACAGTTTTTTTTTTTTTTTTCACAAACAGCACCTGTACGCTGGCAGGCAGATCCATGCTAACGTGTCATTTCCAAAACCAATATGACACTGATAATTTTGGCGCAAGTATAGAGAAAAAAATTATAAAAGGAAGATTGCGAACGTGAAGTGCCCGTATAGACTAAGCCAGACATAAACTCCGACTAATTAAATGTTGTAGAGAGTTTTAAAGCTGCTTAAAACAAAATGTACCCCAGGTTAAAGTTCGAGCAGAGTAGATCATCGCAGTACTAGAATGGAGATTGCTCTTATTTCCCCGCCACGGTGGTCTAGTGGCTAAGGTACTCGGCTGCTGACCCGCAGGTCGCGGGATTGAATCCCAGCTAAAGCACCTGCATTTTAGGTGCAGGCGAAAATGCTTTAGGCCCATGTGCTCAGGCCCATGGCGAAATGCTTCAGGCCCATGGGCGCACGTTAAAGAACCCCAGTTCGTCGAAATTTCCGGAGTCCTCCACCACGGCGTCTGTCATAATCATATGGCGATTTCGGGACGTTAAACTCTACATATCTATCAAATCAATGAGATTGCGCTTATTGTGATGCTATCGGATATACCCGCAACTACACGGTGTGAGGTCTGTAATTATGCCGTCCGCACGTTTTTCAGTGTTTTTCAATGTTTTTAGCGATAGATCACTTTTATTTAGTCTTAAAAATACCACATTAAAGCTAGGAATCGTCCGAACCCAAATGGAGCTTTGCGATAGAAAACGCTGCACAAAGGTGATGTAATTTTACGTGATGCAATGGTCTCCCTAGTCAACATTACCTAGCGTTGATTGTAGATCGAGAAACTACAGTTGGCAGGTACGCACCTGATTTCTTGCGTGGAATATATGGGAAATACAATTTCTGAAAGGAACAATGATGTAAGGAACTCGATCCACATTTGCAAACCGAATCTATATACGGGCTGAATTTCAGGTCGTATTAACGACGAGCTCTTACAGCGTATCTTCTAAAACGTTGCCGTCGAATATGATACCACGCTAATGGGCTCTTCAACCTTCGAGTATCCCATATCACATGAAAGAAAACGAGGAAGACGTCATAAAAAATGCGTAGAGAGAGAACACAACCTATTTATGGCCGCTAGACGCAGTCAGTACAAAGATTCAGATGAGTAGTGACGAAAAACAACCCATTTACGACTGATAGTCGCACTCAGTACACAGGTTCATAGAAGCAAAATGTGTTACGCAAACAAGCCTGATGATATGTGAAGTTCAACGTCCCGAAACCACCATATGGTTATGAGAGACGCCGTAGTGAAGGACTCCGGAAATTTTGACCACCTGGGATTCTTTAACATGCACCCAAATCTGAGCACATGGGCCTACAGCATTTTCGCCTCCATCGAAAATGCAGCCGCCGCAGCCGGGATTCGATCCCGCGACCTGCAGGTCAACAGCCAAGTATACCTTAGCCACTAGATCACCGCGGCGGGGCGCGCAAACAAGCCTATACGTGAAGTTCTGAAGAAAAAAAGTATTTCGCTGACGCATACGCAGTGCACCTATACTTGAGCTTTTGATTGTGCAGGTTGGGCGGATATCGTGCACGCACTGATATGCTATTCCTAAAGCTTTTTTTTTTATCTTTGTTCATTCCTATAGTAAAGTCTAAGAGGTCGTAGAACGCATATCAACATGAATGTGACAATCCAGGCGCAGCCCTTCATTGTGTGCGACTATGAATTGCATATCGAAACTCCGTTGTTGCTGGAACCCTCTTGAAATGTTCGGTTAAGTGCGTTTACACCGCGTTCGCGTGGAGCTTTTGTTTCACGGCTAACGAGCCAGCTGCGCGTCAAAGAAGCGCGTGTGCCTGACCCCACGCGTCAGACTGCGAAAGGCTGCGAGTCCTTCTGCAATTAGGTCGCATTGACGCTCATCATGCGGCCCCACGTGACCTCGAGGGGCGTCTTGGAAGAACAGCCGGATCGACCCCGGGCCCGGCAGGGCTCTTTCAAGGTCAATTGAAGGGCGGCAACGCGTTTATAAAAGACAGCTGAGCCACCGCTGCTGCTTGCTGCCGCCGACGCAGGCGACCGGGCCAAGTTTTTTCTTTACACTGTGAACGTCAACGCAACGCTCATCTCCTCCCCGACCACCGCTGCCTTCCTTTATATTAAGACTTCACGCTTTCCGCAGGACAGTGACGATTGCCAGATTCGGTTCTGCGAGTGAATTGAACGCGACGGATCGGATTTGCGCAGCTCTTGCGCAAACTATTATTGCACTCTTCAAGGGCACTGGAGCGAAGAGTTTTTGGGATAAGGAGTAAAATTTGACACGGCCGGACACGCCAGCTGGTCCATGCTGGTTAGTGAGCAGCTTACATCGCATTTACCCCCGCATCGACGCCCGACACAGTTCTATTGTCTGGTTGCGGCGCCACGACTTCGGTTACCTTGAAAATTTAGTAACGTACAGCCTGAAAATTACACTAAGCCCGTGAAACAAGTCCGAGCACTACTAGAGGCTCTTTGACTAATCGCAAACGAAGAAAGAGCGTACGCTGGCTGGATGGGCCGCTCAGACCACTGGCAGAAGGCTACAACGTTATGCAACCGCGTATGCTGCCTGATTACGTCATATGCAGTCTTACTACGTCATGGCACGCACGTCTACTGCAAAAAAGCTGGCTTCCATATATGTGATCACATTAAATTACCTAGAGCAATT